CGCATGTTAATCTTTCATATTATTTTCTATGGTTATTAAAATTGTGATGGAAGTACCAAAAATACTGGAGCAAACGGACAAACTTTCAGATGAAAAGTACGATGAACACCTTCTTCTGCTATCTAAGACAGGCCACTGGATTTAAAGAAATATTTAGAGAAAAAATTTAAAAGTCAGGAAGGGTCCAAAAGAGAAAAAGGGATCTGGTTCAGAATGTGACACTGTAGTAGGTCCTAGTGTCAAGGCTCCTTTAGATGAGTGGGACGACAAACATTTTTTGGCACGTCCGTTTTGTTTGCTTTGTGTCGTTATTGATGACCGGATTTTAAGCAACACAAACAGGCCTTCTTTGCAAATAAAATTCCTCTCAGTTTGTGTAAGCTTAAATATGGACCCTTAAAACTACAAGTGACTTTATAGAGACAGTGGCGACAACAGGGTATCTCGTTTTTGATTGGTCGTTGGTTCCGGTCGCCATATTGGAGCTAAATTCCAAACTGGCCAATAGAAAGCCTCCAAAACGACGCGGTACACTCCGTGCTATAATAATTAATTATACTGTTTTGACAGTGTCACCTGTGATTGTGACGGCTTCACGTTACTAGTTTACACTTTGTTTCTGTGTTTGCTTTATTTTACGTTTTCCGTCTCCAGTTTTATATAAACTCGATTTTTAAAGACGCATATAGGTAGCCGGACATATAACTTGGATTTACGATATTATAAGGCATGTAATTCGCTTATAAAGTGTTTTAGATGTAAAACGGTGCCTAACCTCTTACTACTGGTAATTGATGAAAAACTTTTTTCAGAAGCCCTAAATGGCCTAAATACCTAATGAGTAAATCAACGTGTTTTGTCTTCCATTTGAGGGACTAAAATAATACTTTTTATCCCGGAAGGAGAAACACGCGACAAGGGACAAGAAGTAACAGAAGACACTGAAATGTGAAACACAATTTAATGATTAATGTTTCGTTTGGGAGACACCTCCAAAGAAGTGGTGAAATTTGAATTTCGTCTTTCATTTTTTTCTCAGCAACCATAAGATTTACAAATATGGGTGGCACGTCTTTGAATAGGTTTTCGGGTATGCCCTATCCGATTTTGAAATTTTTTTTCCAAAATTCCTACCATGAAAGAGCGTACCCCTGTTTGGGGGTGCGAAAAAATTGTGATTTCGACGAAATTTGGTATCTGGGAGTTTTTGAACATGAAAATGACGAATCTGAAATTAGTTTTTGAAAATTCGAAAAAAAGTTCCACTGCAATTCTTGGCCGGACAACGAAAATGGAGAGAAATCCACGAAATTTGTTATGTACATACATAGTTAACATAGTTAAGGAACAAAATTGTCGATTGGTTTTTTTAAAAATAACTTTTCTAACACAAGTTGTACTTATTTGAAGATTGGGCCTTCGGGTTACAAAGTGTCCCCCGCTTACTAGTGAGTAATCTAATTTCGCATGTAGTTAATTGAAAATGTCGCCTATTAAAAAACTGTTCGACAACTTTGTTCCTTAACTCATCAAGTATGTATGTTACGCACAAATATCGAAAACGCTCAATGAGCGAAAATAAGGCACACAACGCGTTATGGCCGAAGCTAAATGACCAATCACCGAAATGAAGTATTTTTACGTGTTATAGTCGTTGTGGTCATTTTAGAAGCGGCCAGAACGCGTTTTTTTCGTTTGAAGAATGACCATAATACATTGTCTTATTAAATAACAGGAGGTTGCCGGTCGTCGGGCGACTCGGTGAAAACCGACTCGTGTGTTGAGGCCTTAATTGTAATGGGCGGATTTATTTGAAAGTCCTGGAGAAAGAGATTTTTAATAGTAGAAGTGGCGTTTCGTTAAATACTGGAATCAATGAAAAAACGTGGCTGGTTCGCGACGGTCGAAAAGCGTGTACGTGTCTTTACGCAATTTTTATTCGCCCTATTTGATAAGTGTTTTGTGGGCAGTGTAGTTGACCGCATTCCATTGCACACAGCAATCCTTTAACATGAAAATAAAGTGACCAGCAAGCAAATAATATCGTTAAAATAAATAGAACACGTAATTTTTAATTAAAACAGATAATGAACCAACGCATTATGCTCGCTTCTAAAATGACCACAACGCGTTATGAGCATAAGTTCACGACTATAACACGGAAAAATATTTAATTTCGGTGTTTGGTCATTTTATGCTTCGTCCATAACGCGTTCTGGGCCTTATTTTCGCTCATTGAGCTTTTCGATGTGTGTGCGTAACATGCACACAACAAATTTCGTGGAATTCTCTCCATTTTCGTTGTCCGGCTAAGAATTGCAGTGGAACTTTTTTTTCGAATTTTCAAAAACTAATTCCAGATTCATCATTTTCATGTTCAAAAACTAAATAATACTCTGTTGTCGCCACTGTCTCTATAAAGTCACTGTGGTTTTAAGGGTCCATATTTAAGCTTACAAAAACTGTGAGGAATTTTATTTGCAAAGAACGCCTGTTTGTGTTACTTAAAATCCGGTCATCAATAACGACCCTGTCGACTCCGAAAAAAATGTGTAATTTGGGGCAAATCGCATGTAACATTAACCTGTTCCGAACTTCGGGCTAATAACACTATGAAAGAAAAGGGGTCACCACACTCTACTCCATCTGAATCCCCCTGTACAAATAGGACAGGGAGTCGTGCGTTTTTCCAGACCTTGAAAATCATAATAAGCGGACTGGAAGGATTCAAAGTCGCCCGGGTGTTAATAGATACGGAGTTCCAAAATACGTACAAAATACATACATATACATCCTCGAAAGTCTTTGAAGTGTTGCTCAGCCAGTGTGTGACCCATCGATGAGAAGACTCTTATGGTTGCTGAGAAAAACATTAAAGAAGAAATCCAAATTTCACCACTTCTTTGGGGGTGGCTCCCAAACGAAACACGTTGGACCCTCGGTTTATTTGGAAATAGTTCTTGTCTTGATTCCCTCTATCACCCGATTTTTTTTACATACGGTCATGTAACACCCTGTATGTACATTTTGGATATTGCACCATATTTTATGCTTATTATACCGTTTTCCGTAGGAAAATCTTTTTGAATTTGAGAGGCAGTGGTTTTCCCATAGGTTGTTCTGCAAAGCTTTAAATGATCATTTCTGCGCCGTTAGTTTTGAACAAGAAACCCTCTGACGACAGCGTGATTCGTTGTTCACTTTTCACTTCGTTTTTCAGGAACTGCATTACGTTTTTAACCTGATCTCTGGGGCCATCGAAAGCTTTAAACTGTATAGCAAACAGTTGAAACTTCGCTTATCTAGTGCTGGACGCTGCGCAGGAGTCGTCTTCCACGACGTCATAATTATCGTTCAGGTATCCATTGTATTCCAATTTCAAGATGGAATACCTCTTTTGGTACCTGTCACGCTGCTCCTACCAAATCTGTTTCGGTGGGCGCTTCCTCCTCAAGAAATAACGTAAAAATTTCTTCATCAAGCACGTTCAATCCCTCCATCAATAGTTCAACATTATAAATTTTTAACAATATATAGCGAAAATACAGAACTATGACCATCCCTTTTGAATGCCACACTTTTTTAATAGTAACCCAGAAAACGACGGTTTCCATAACAAAATATTTACTCAAAAAAAGGGCTTCTAAAGAATATTCGTCCATTTATGAACGTGTAAAGGACTCCAAAACACTCCTGATGACTCTAGAAATCTCTGAGGTTTCTTGCTGACTCTTGAAACCTTTGGTACGGCTTTAAAGACTAAAGTCATTAGAAGGCTCTTGAAAATCTGTTGTTTATCAACTTGTTTTCATGTACTTTGCCATTTTTTGCAATCCACTCAAGATTAAAATTTTATTGTTCGTATCTTATTTATTTAAATGTTTTGGAACTATATACGACTATCCCAGTATAACCCTCAAGTGTATCTCAATTCTAACCACTTTGATTTCCCTTCGCGTGTTGGACATTTTCATTTCTCCTGAGAATGTTATCTACTTGTTTACGGCAAATGCGTCGCAATAAATCAGTGCAATCTAATCGAAAGCACTTGACAGTTGTTTTTTGGAATGATCCCGATACTGTAAACAATGAGTTCTACAGGATGCACGATATTGAGATTGGAAAACTGTAAACAATCAGCAAAGATCATACTTAAGCTTGAGGTATCCAATATATTTCCTAACAAAAACAAAGCACGTGTAGGATTATCTCAGATGCTCTGTCGCAACCGTGCAAGGCAAGGTCAGAAAAAGGTGTATTAGTAAACACTTTAGCGCAAAACCCAGGTATTATCTTTTGGAGCATCTAACCATTTGGGAATTTCATTGTTGCATTAAGAAAAATTCCAAGCTGCCTTTGCGTAAAAGTTTCCTGGTGACAAGATCGCCGCGCCAAAGTGACGGCGCCAGAATGTGCTACACTGCTCTAGAGCACGAACGCTTCTACCGGCCATCTTAAGCTGAACCGTAACGAACGCATTGTCTAATTTATTTTTGAAACTGCTGTCATCTAACGTCAATCACGTCTATTGCAAGGGCGCTTCATTATTTGAAACCTTTATCATTTTTTGTGTAAATGTTTGATCAATTGTTGTTACATTTTGATTACGCATACAAAGTTTAATTTACATATTTGACCATTTACTTTAGTGGGAAGTATTGAATTGCATTTAGGTTTTTTGGTTGAATCATATTACTAATCCTTTTTGAGACGGACGGGAATAGCTGTGGTTGATCGCTCAACTCATCTGTAGGCTGGCATTTTGCGTATGAACAGCCAGTTCTCACCCCGAGGGTTGTTGTGGAATGCCTAACTTTTGCAATTCTTTAATTTTGAGTAAATTTTAAGGTTTGTGTTTAAAGAATAAACAAGGAATGTGTATTTCTTTTATTCCACCAGGTTTTAAGAAAACTATTTTTTGCTACCATTGAGGCAAGGTTCAGCAAAAATCAAAACCACACCACACACATAAGATATTTCAACCATACAGCGCGCAGCGGTTGGAAAGTACAAAATTTATTGTTACATTACAATATTGTAATTACATAATGTTATTATTTCCATTTTCGTAATGCATTCTTTAGTGTGAACAGGAGGCAGCGTAAAGCTTAAGTAATTCACTAGCAGCGTCTAAACGACCAGTTGCCAGAAGCAATACCAATGCGGTGTTGGCTTGCTGACTTCGACCGAAGATAAAAGACTTCCTCTTGAGTGACAGTCGGACATTGTGTTTGCCTGCTTTAATATTAGCAGTACGAATGGCGTCTTGGTCGGTGTCGATCGCATCGAGAGCGGCACTGGCGCTAGTGCGGTTGAACATCTTTAACACCTCTTTGTCATCGACGAGCTTGAAGGCACGCAACTTCTCATTTACTTTGGGTTCGGAGCCCGTATTTCTGTTAAGCAGAAACGATGTAACTTCCACTTTTCTGTTGGGATCGCTAGGTTGTAGTGTTTCGACCACCGATTTGAGTTTCTCATTCTGGTCATTCACCAGCACCGATAAGAGTGGCGAGCCTCCTCCGTTATTATCAGCAACTAAAGAAATACATTAGTATTGATACACCACATAGCGAGGGAAATGGTTGCGTTACCGTCTAAGTGTTGTAAGATTGCCTTCCTCCAATCTAGATGGTTGGCTGGAGCGGCATTGGATGAAGGTTCGCTTTCCTGGACTGCAAAAGGACGAAATATTACAATTAAATATTTTAGACATCGAATATAATAACTATAAAAGGCTGATACGCCTGATGGTTTATTTTACCATGACCGAGACGTCGCGCCGCTCACGTAGCTCTCATATTTGACCGCATAGTACCTCAAATTAGTTTGCCGTTATCGTCTTGTACAATACAAAACTTTATTTTATGGCAGAAGCCATATAAATCATTGTAACGTTTCTGAAAATTCTGAATTTAATTTAGACGCCAAAAATAGCAAGCTTAGGTTCTGCCGTCGCGGTCATTTCCATAGGAACAGCATTGTCATATGTTTTGAACGCCATTTTATGTCGTGCTTCGCGTCCCATTTGAAATAAGACAGATGTCATTAGAATAATTATCTGTTTCACTTTATCTATCCTTGCGGTTAAAGTGATAACGTTATCTACCCTCACCGTTAAAGAGCAATGTACCCTACTGATTCACTTCTATTAAAATGTCAATGTAACATTTGCTATAAAATTTAAAGAAAGCAATCGCAGTTACGCGCATTAGAGAGCTTAGGTATCATCCGTTACGAAAAAGAAAGAAAGCAGCGGTTGTCAGAATCTGCTTTTTGTCATTTGTGCACGAAGTTTGGTCATATTGCACGAAGATGTCGGCCGAATGAAAAATGCAACAAATGCCAAAGAAAACACTGTCCTCTTCTTTGTCAAAAAGAAGAATCGAAGGCAGTCTTAAATAAAAAAGATTTCCAAAGTGATGACTCGGCAAAGAAAGAGCAGAATTTGACCAACCACAGAAGTTTATTGGCGAACCATGGTTGTAAAGTTAAGAAACGAAAACCACTCAAAATATGTGAGGCTTCTATTTAATTCCCACAAATATTACGTCACCACGAAGGTTACTGAAGAAATAGGTTACACTCCTATTCGGGATCCGGAAGGTTCGCCCCCAACGTTTCGCCCCTCACATTTCGCCCCTCGCATTTCGCCCCTCACATTTCGCCCCCAGGTGCATTTCGCCCCCGGTACTTTCGCCCCTGCAACTTTCGCCCCTCGGAAGTTTCTCCTCCACACATTTCACCCCCGGATGTTTCGCCCCCCAAATCTCAATATCTAAGTTCATATTAGGTTGGTTATGGGTATGAAGGTAAGAAAGCATAATCCATGATCATTCCCCGAGATATGTAAAACCAATAGAAATGATACGTTATAAACTTAAAGTTAAGCGTTTTATCCGTTTAAAATTTCGTGGAAGAGTATGGTAAACATACTTTTATTTATCACTTTATATATTATATTTATTATTTTATACTTTTAAGGAGTTATCCGCATGTTGGAATTGCATCCTGAAATAATATTTCCAAACCTTGATTAATTATCTATGTGAGGTAAACGGCCAGTTGGAACTATTTTTAGTAAGCTGAAGGGTCACAATAATAGAAGAAAAGCATTGCCATTAAACAGGTACCTACCCACCTAGAGGTGATTACAATAGCAAAATGACCTGTAGGATTAAAAGATCTTGTTTGTGTAAACAGGTACCTAGGTAATATTCATTATTGATGGCTACGAAGATGGGTATTCTGCATTGCAAAGAATCTGCTTTGCCAGTTCAAATCAGTTAGTTAACGGTGAAGTTCTGCTAGTGCCTCCGTTTAAATATGAATTCAGTTATTTCTAAGCGTGGGAAACAGAAGTTAGTTTACGAAAACCATCTCTATTTATTTTCTAAAAAGACGAGGGACAACATTAATGCAATTTGGGTTTGCGAAAAGCGGTCAACATGCAAAGGACGCGTATGGACTGAAGGAATGAATGGTGAAGTCATCAAAGTGGTGAATCTTCATAATCATGCAGCGCAGGCTGCAAGACCCGAAGCAGTCCGACTAGTCAATGAAGTGTGCACCAGAGCAAGGACGACCCAGGAGACGCACAACAAATACTCGCTGAGGTCGTTTCAGAGGCCCACGCCAACGTTGCTGCACTATTACCTAGGAAAGATTCCTTGAAGAGGTCCATTCGTGCGATGAGAAAAGTTGGTAACATGCCAAGACTACCTCAAACCATTGACCAACTAAACATTCCACAGGAGTTTCGGGAGATCAATATTGACGGCACTTTGCATCAATTTCTTCTGTGGGACTCGGGTAAGTTCTCTTTCAATTTTTATAAAAAAATATGTTTTGGCTAAATACCTAATATGGCTCTGTTTCCTGAAATATCCGATATAGTGTACCTCAAAAAAATAAGGGATGGAAAAAACTCGTGGGTTATTCTGTATCCTTACGCGGTTTTAGTTTTCTTTTTGCACAAATATCTCGAGAACAAAGCATCAAACAGTTCTGAATTAACCTATATATACAGGGTGTGTTAGCCCACCTGTGCCAGCCGTTTTTCTTCGATATAGTACACGGAAGGAATATTAATAACTAAAAGGTATATGGAGAAACTAATTTTGAAATTTTCGGTTTCCGGAAGTTAACGGAAATAGCCATAGTCAACTTTGTAATTTTATATGGTAAGGGAGGTCAATTGGGGTGTCGCTAAAAAGGTGTTTTTAAAATAAACAACTTTTGCTTGAAACGTTTTCGTGTATTTTTTATCGCTTATGAACAATATACCTTTAAAGATTTTCGAAATGTCTTCCTGACTTAAAATGAAGCATGACCTACAAGAAATTCTTTTGTTCATGGGCACATTACCTACCGGAGAACGTCGGTCAGACGCGTTAAACTTGCAAATGTTCATAAACGATAAAAAATATACGAAAACGTTTTAAGCAAAAGTTGTTTCTTTTAAAAAGATCTTTCTAAGGACACTCCACTTGATCCCCCTTTCCATTTAAAATTACAAAGTTGGCACCGGAAAGGGCTGTTTCCGGCAACTTCCGGAAACCGGAAGTATCAAAATTGGTTTCTCCATGTAGCTTTTAGATATTACTAAACTTCCGTGTACAATATCGCTGAAAATCCTTTGCAGTAGATATTTTTTGACATTCTGTACTTCAATTATTGATGCCGCCTTTTTTCAGGGATTGAAGCCAACCGAATATTGATGTTTGGAACAAGACAAAATCTCCACTTATTATCTAGAAGTGAGGAATGGTTCGCCGACGGCACGTTTTCTTCTGCGCCAGCTTTATTCCAGCAACTCTACACAATTCACGTAGTGCACGGCGGCCTCGTTATTCCGGCGCTGTACGCCTTGCTGCCAAACAAGACCAAAGCGACATATCAACGAATGCTACAGCATATTAAGGTTTTACAGCCAGGTCTTCAGCCACGAAGATTAATGACTGATTTCGAGCAGGCTGCGATTCAGGCGTTTGATGAGGAATTTCCAAACATCGAAAAGACGGGCTGCTTCTTCCACCTATCACAGTCTGTTTGGCGAAAAGTTCAAAATGAAGGACTAAAAGCGCGCTATCAGAATGACCACGAATTTTCCCGTTGGATTCGAATGATACCCTCTCTTGCTTTTCTTCCCCCTGACAGGGTTACACAATCATTTGAAGATCTCTTGGACGATCCGGACTTTCCTCAGGAAGCACTACCCATTGCCAACTATTTCGAGGACACTTACATTGGTCGAATTAACCGAAGAGGACGCCAGGCCCCCTTGTTTCCAATTCAATTTTGGAACGTTTATCAACGGACACTGAATGGTCAACATCGCACCAACAATGACGTCGAGGGTTGGCACCGCAGCTTTCAAGAGACCTGTGGTTCACTTTTTCCTAACATCTACCGCTTCATTAACTGCCTGAAACGACAGCAAGGTCTCCACAACTTTGAAATGGTGCAAGTCTTGGCCGGAAATGCCCCCACTGCGCGAAACAAGAAATATGCGGTTATTTCAGCAAGGGTACTGCGTATTGTGGAGGACTTAGGCAATCGAAATTTGATAGATTACCTCAGGGGTATAGCGTACAATTTTGAATTTTAATCACCATCCGTGGATGTCTTGCACAGGTCCATATTCAATCTTATTGTATTATGTTCTTAATTATACATTATTAACGTTATTCATTGTATCATTCACAAACTTATTCAATCCTACCTAACATCCTAACATTGGTGTTTCTTTTGATTTACTTAGGTACCTACATCATGCTTAAAAAATAAAAATAAATGTGCAAAATTCTTGACAGAACAGCTTCCTAACTCCAAAAATCGCGGTTCGTGCTAAATTATATTTATTTCGCATTATTGCTAGTCAGCAATACTTATTCCAGGAACTTACATTATGTTTCTGTTGACTCTTTTTATAGAAGGGTCGTTTTCTGCCCGATTTAGGGGTATCTATAGGCATTCCGTGACGTCACCACATGTCTAATTTTGCCGAAAACGAATTTTTGAAATTTGACATTTTTTTCTCAGTTTTTTTTTGTAATAAAACCTAGCACAATTTTTATAGGGTTTACACAGAAAAATAGATCTTTCGAATAACTTAATAAAAATTTTAGGTTTCTATTTTCTATGTTCAATGCCCTTGTGGCGCTCCAAAATTTTTTTTCGAAAATCCGGCTCGTAATTTTTCGTTTCCGTATGCCTAATATACGCTACATATCCAAAATTTGAACAAAATCTGTCGAAAATCGCCAACGTACGTACATACTTAGATACAACACACGGAAAAAAATTTATTCTTTAAAAGTTGCTTAAAATGATTTAAAACGTCTACATTTGGTAAAATTTTTACATGTCCAAAAAATGGCGATCGCAATAGCCACCTAACTCGAGCCAGGAAGCTAAAAAAGTTCGATTAAAATTACGATTTTTAAATTTATTATGAGCAAGTAACAAGTAGGGGCGAAACATTCGGAGGCTAAATGCGTGGGGGCGAAATTTCCCGGGGGCCAACTGTGCGGGGGCAAAACTGATGGGGGCGAATCATACCCGGGGGCGAAATACTGGGGGCGAAATGTGAGGGGCAAAATGTTGGGGGCGAATTGTTGGGAGCGCTCTGATCAGGCGTCCCAATCGCCATTTGTGAGAACAATCCTTCAACAATAGGTTCTTGAGATAGAAGGAATTTATATCCGATCATGATAAGGAATCGAGGAGGAGAAATATGGTTGGTAAAAATTAATTCTTTTCGTTAAGACCTTTCATCACAGTACCATTAATTTCTATCTCCCCACTCCTCCCTCCGGCCACCTACTGATCTCGAAGAGGAGTCGCGCAGGAAAGTTATAGTTTGTTTGTACAAACCAGTTCATTTCGGTGAGAACTTTCATTAGAATACCATGAAGGATACAATGTGTGGTCCCCCCCCCCCACAGCATCTCAAGAAAGAATACATGGGAGCCCCCCCCCCCTACTTGGATTTGGCCCATAGGCTTATTACATGTCGCATATAGTTCAACTGTGCAAAGTTTGAACCGAATCGGCCCAAGCGTTTGGCAGTTATCTTGTTCACGGAAAGACGGGAACCATCGACCCCCCTACAAAGCTTGTATCCCTTCGTTCTACAATTCTTCCAGGCGTCCTAATCTCTTTTTGTGAGTTCTGTCCCCCGACAATCCACTCTTGAGATATAATGAATTATATCCGATAACGAGAAGGGGTCGAGAAGAAAGACTGTGGTTGGTAGAAATTAATTAAATTAATTCCTCCCACCGTCCACCTTTCTATTTTCATGAGGGACAAAAAAGAAGGGCGTTGGTTTCATACTCCCCAGCAGAAAAGTCGCTATTAGCTGCACTTTGACGTCCGTCCGTCCGTCCCTCCGTCCCTCTGTCCGTCACACGTACTATAGTGGAACGCGGCAAATTTAAAGAATTCTTTTCAACATTACCAATTGTACGTAACTTAACCTAGAGAGGTCGTTGCGCCAAACTAAACGTTCAAACTCGAAATCTATGTGTAAGATAACCCTTTACTTTCGTTCACCTATCGATTATGGGGCCATTGTATTTCTAAGTGTTGATTTCGCTGCACGAACCATTTTATAATTACTGTAGTTTCGCCTAATTATTTTTAGGTACAAATTTTAATGTAAGGTCGTTAAGGTATTAGTTAAGGCATTAGTGTGTTTATTCGTTAAGCGTTTCTCGACATAAACTACAACCAGCATACGTGGGTTTTATTTTCCCTCCCATCGCCGACGAACCGAAACCAGCCCTGCACCCTTTAAGGGTGTTCCGCTACAGTACTCCTTCTAAACCACTGAGAGATTTCGGCGATATAGGACTCATTTGAAAGGGTTTGGTCCAAGGATTCCGTGCATACCCATATTTTTTTGGTTTTGCGCATGCGCAGTGTCAAAAATTTGGTTTAACGTATGTGCAATGCGAACTTTTTTCTTTATTAAGATATTTCAATGAAACTTTATATGTAAACACTACGAATATAAGTAAAATTAACGACATTTTCAAAATGTTGTTTTGCGCATGCCAACTTTTTAACTTGTCTATATATATCTGTCGTTTTTTTTCGATAATTTAATAGTTATTCTGTTACTCGGGTCGGAGACAAATATAATAAATCAAAGATTATGAAAATCGGTCCAATCGTTCTTGAGTTTATAAGTGGGGTAACATACACGACTTTGTTTAAAATGTTTGCCATTATGTATTATTTATTATGAATGGAAGGGTACATTGCTATCTCAAAAAATTCAATTATTTCCCGTTACTCATTTGTTTTCTGAAATAAAAACAAGTGAATGCTGCCTTATTATGGAAAATAAATATTGAACAACATAGACACATAAAACATCCTGTATACAGTCGTTGTTTACCAAGATACATATTATACTCCATACATAATGGGCATCCTGAGTATTGTTTTGCATATTCATACATACCAGGCATATTTTGGAAAATTGTAGACAGTGAAACAGGAACATCCGATTGTACCAACAATATTAAAAGCAACAGGTAGCAACAGGCAAATACTTTACTAATAAAATTAGAAAGAGACCGGGGCGTGACTGCTAATATCGTGTGGTGCAGTTGAGTTGAAATGCGGCTGGAGTACTAAGGGTTCTTGCTTCGGGCAGGAATATTTGTAAATGTATAGTGGTTGGGTTGGTAGAGCAGCCTTGGCTGAAACTCCGCCACTCAAAAATAAAGGCAAAACAAAATTCATGGTAAATGGAAACTAACATTGTGGTGAAATTGGAAAATGGCCATTGATGGTTCTTCTGTGGTCAACTTTGCCCATGTAAATCCATTTATAATTAATTGTACATTCAGCATCATCATATGCCCTGAACTCCCATTCGGTTTTCTTTCACAAATATGCTTAATTTTCCACAACGAGCCCAGTAAAACATTCGGGATTAAAGCAGGTTTGATTTTTTAAAATTACGAGGCCCATTGGTTATTGAAGATCAAATGTCGTCAAACGCCGTGCGGCAAGGCAATTGGTTTTCATTTATGCTTGATTAATTGAATTAAAGACGTAGCCTGTATGATTTACACTTTTGCACCCCAGGAGCATAACACAATGAAATTTGTATCGGTTTGGAGTGGTTACCAAACTTATACTGTAGTTTAGCTTGTTTACTAATTCCCAAAAAAGGGGGTTTTCGCACCTGATGTCAGTTGAAACTTGAATTTGGTTCTATTAAATAAAAAAAAACACACTGTAGTCCGTTTGCTTTTCCGTAAATCAAGAAACTAGCAGGTGACATTGATCATCCCGTCCTAATTTCCAAATCGTGATATACCAAGGTTCGCATACAAAAGGAGGGAGACAGAGGTCGGGTCACGTCGGTGCAGCTGGGTTAGAATAGCGGTACATAGTGCAACATGTGCGTAATATGCATTCACTCACTCAGTGGCAAGGAAATCAGGACCATCATCTACGTCCGTTAACCAAAGAAAGTAGTCTACCATAGGTTTCAGGTACCCACTCAGGTTTCTCGCTGAACTATTAATAATCCATCAGTCATTCTAGGAAATATAGAGAAAATAATTCATGTAGTTTCAATTGTTTCGGGAATGTGTAGTAGAACGTCTTCTGATGATTGTGTAGTAAAGTTCCGAGTGATTTTGGTGATTGAGGGTACAGTTCTGCGGTTCTGCGGCCGCATCTCGAAAATTGTGCGTTCCCTACTGGGTGAAGATGTTCATTGTCACCTATTTCCCAACCCCACTGCTGAACTTGGAAATCTTACAAGCCTTTTTTTGCCGTTGTTCTACTCTCAACTGCGTGGCTAACTGTGGCCTGTGGGTGCAAGAAGACTGGCATGTTTTGCACCATTGCCTGTGCCTCGCTTTAATTCTCCACCAATCCTAGCAAAAGGCGAAGAGGACGTAGACGATCCTCGTGAAGAGGAATTGAACGTACGACCCACCATTTTCGAGATATAGCCAAAAATAAAAAAACCGCAAAATTGTATCTTCAACTCGCTCCACTCCATTCTGCGGCACGAAATCGCTCGGGACATAATCATCAGGGGAACTTCAACCACACTGTTTACCGTTTTTTTTTGGCAAAGAATGGCTGGGTAAATTTAAAAAAGTATAGCTGATAGTGCGGCTGCCACATATTGTACGTGCACGTGGTGCGTAGATTATGGTTAGATAACGACAGGAAATGCATTATAAACGACTCCTTTGGTAATCATTAAAAAAGAAGCACTATCATGAACAATAATTTTTTGAAATTCACGACTATACCCTTTGATGCATCTCGTTCTCAAATATTAACTGCAACTTTGCCCAGCTAACTAACCTTCAGGAGGTCTGAGACTAGGAGAAATTAATCAGAGACTTACCCGAAAGACTCACAGTACTTAGTGACCAAACTGTCGATTTTTTTTCCTGAGCCGAAGATGGCAACAAGCTCTCCAGCAATTAATAATATAACGTAAATATTTCATACAATAGATGACTAAAATAATTGCTACAATGTGCTGGTAATGGAGGTTGAATAGTTCAGATGAATTACTAATATAGCAATCTCCTGTTCTCCCACTTAACCTTAATTAATTTATAAGAAATAAAATTGAAATTTGTTGATCTGTGAAAATAATTATTATTAAATTTGTTTTTGTACCAATCCCAAACATACTCTTCGTATGTGAAGAAAAAAAGACAAAATTCTTTAAATTGAAACATGTTGCGCTCCTGGGTGTTGAACATCATTACGATATATTGGTCATTGGTCAAGCCTTCCCTTCATGATTTCTTTCACTTTACTTTAATCTCTAAAGATTAGAAAGAAGCCACTTTATTCTCGGTTATGACGGAGTAGGGTTGCCATTTTGGCATCGGCTATGCATTATCGGGTAGGTATGTATGCCAGTATCATTATCTCGGTAATTTACAGTTTATAAATATAAACTGATAAAAACCAATGTTCCCATCGCGAAAAGATAGTAAATAACCCCTATCAACTGGAAGCTTAAAACAATTCGGGATCGATTTGAATTTGGTGGGGATTACTCCGGACACTGCGAAGGCATTTTACACCAAAGACTTTGGAGGCCGAGCTAGCACTTTCAACTGGCGCTTCACTTGTTTTACTCGGTGGAGATTAAAGATTACAAAACAGATATAACAGTTAACGACGTGGTTCGTGGTTTTTCGAGGTGTCATTAGTAAAAGTTCCCCAATAGGTAATTAAAATAAATAAGATTTGCTTACCATTACTGATGGCATCCACCAAATAATTCGATTTTGCAAAAAAACAGGCGGCGTAGCTTACAATGAGCAACAGTCGTAACATATTGTGAATCGATTGCGAATCAAAATCAAAAATACTTATTTATACCTGTAATCTTACTTAATCTTTCCTATCTGGAGTATTCGAACGAGCAACCGCAAAAATTGCAAGGAACTGTGCAGTACACAAGTTTTCACAGTTCCTTTATCTCAAATTATCAGAAGATGTAGTGGCGGATCGGGTACTTAACCCCCAGGTTCTACGCTAACTTCACACTACAAGAACACAGAAATAAAGTCAACCCGGCAACGTTTAAAAATGGCCACCCGAATGATTATTCCCTCCAAAACTAAACAAAATCCGGTTTAAATTTGAAAAGTGGCACGTGATCAAATATCTAAGGCAGGACCCCTTTACGTTAGTTGTAGACAACGCTTTGACCTGAAGCACAGTAGGGAAGGAACGTTAAATAAAACACTGAAATTGTGAAAAGTTTGTTTAGTATGATTGTGAAAGCCCGGAAATTTAGTTGATGTACATTAATATAAACAAAGCAAGGAAAGCCAAAAGGTGTCGTACTCTCGCAAAAGTAACTGCTAAGGGTAAAAAGAGTACGACGTAAGAAAAACCTCGCAGTTTGATTAATAGAGTCCAAAAGTTAATTAACAAAATATTTTGTAAAAGTTTAAGCAGTAGTTAACAAAATAAATTCATATATACAATGTTGGTTACACTCAAGGTTAAAAGCAAATTTTTGGGAACAATGGGTCAGGTAGTAGCAGGTACCTAAATTCTGAGAAAGGGTTAAGAGTACAGGATTTGACTCATATGAGATATGTGGAAATTATTGAATCGCCACTCATTTATCGCACATATATTCTAAACTGAAGAGCTTTGATTAGCGTAATCCCGCTCCTGCAAGATGAGTAGCTCGCCCCTGGTTTCGGGATTTCGACCCTACATTTGGATGTCGAAGACAATCACGGAATTAGGTGTCGTACTACAATTTTGACTACAGTTTTTTTCCACCTCCGTGACTGCTTCATTCCCGCACGGAGAAAATTGTTAGTAACAAACAACAAGTCAGCACATACATCAAACGAATCGGTAATTTCCGCATATTAAAATAAAATTATCAAAATTTACATGAATGTTACTTCAGGGACAAGACCAAGTAATCAACATCAATAAACATAAATTAAGCAAGCATTACACAAAAAACGTAAACAATTACACCCAATAGCATAACGGTATCACACATCCGATTCTGCATTACGGTTAAACCAAGTAAATTTCAAAAACAAAAATTCAAACACAAAAAATATAGAAGGTGGCATACAAAACACAAATACGATATAAAGAAATGCAAAAATTAATCCCTGCATTAAATAACACAAAATAACAACAAATATTTATGAAGCGACGCGTTCACGATCGCCATTAAAAACAAGATGCCAAACAACCCCCGTTCGTGCTTTCTAGGTGGCGCAGGCAGCTTTTCCCCACCTAGAAATTGCATGGTTGCCAACTCTCAAAAATGTATGTATCGTCGTAAGTTGTATATACAGGGTGGAAATTACCGGCATTATGGCTCAATGGTAGAGCGTTGTGTTATAAATCCGGCGGTCGGGTGTTCGAACCTGGGTTGAGGTGAATCTTTCATCCCCGGCAGACATGGAAATTACCTTAGACCAGTTTCGAGCATTCTGCCGGCTACTCCGAATTAGGTTTTCCTGCAGTTTTCCTAATTCGTAAGGTAAATACCGGAGTAGTATAGAACAACTTAAGACCTTCTGCAGAGGCACCTCTAAAATCATTATGCGGGTCACTCTGTAATTGGGCACAAGCCTGTTGAGGGCCCAGAATAAGAGAGGGATAATAAATAAATAAATGGTTACTCTTTGCTATTACATTTAAAATAGTGCTTTTTGCCTATTCACCAAGCCTATCGGAGTGTCCCTCTGCTGAATCCGCCACTGAAAAGATAGAACAGTTACAAGTGCTTCTTTGGCCGGATATGGTACAAAATCACCTGGTCAAGGTTCTTGATCAGCATCTGTTCGCCCTAAAAGGCTACACTAGCACGTCAGAACACCATTCCCTTAAGTGGTTGAAGAAGGTGGTTGGCAACCTCCCACAATTCTGTGCAGATAGACTCTCTTGCTAGGTTCCGCAAGGCTGCCATCTGGGTCCTGGGGGAACCTGACAACCTGGCGGCGGTCATGCGACGCTTGGAGGTGCAGAATTCCTGGGCAGCTGGTGCCATTTAATATCTCCCTCCATTGTTTAGGTATGTGTCTGAAAGCGATATAGCCCGTATATATTCTCACTTGTTAGATGACAAAAGATACAAATCCCATCGCAAGAGGGCTAGTATTATGCCGTCCAATCCCGGTGATTGGCATACAGCTGAGAACGATTTCACCGCTCAGGTCATCCTCGCAACATCCACCATCTGACTGGCAACCGCCCAGTCATTCTCCGTGGCAATGAAAGGGGTTACATCTGGGCAGTTATTGGGGTATGGCGCTGTGGTGGCACCGGGAAAGTGGTAAAATATATTGGAACAAAATAACGGAATTGGCTGTTTCCCGAACTTGACCGAGATATTTATGAGTTACACCAACCCTTAAAGTTTGTTCGACATCGGTTCATAAGTTATAGTGTTTCTTGGACATGATAATACAAACCTATAAAGATACAAACTTATAAATATACTGGTACCATTACAATAGGTAGACGAAATCTATCTAAAATGCAAACCCTATTTGAAATAGTAACTTTTGTTTTAAATGTTTCTGTGTTTAGAAATACACTTACTTACAAAAATTATTTTTTAAAGATTTCTGATCCTTCATATCTTTACTAACTGTAAAAAAAGCAAAAAAGAATAATACTTAGGGGTGCCGCAAATTTTTTTAAACAATTTTAGAGTGCCACCAGATAAAGAAGTTTGAGAAACACCGCCTTAGACCTATACCAGTAATACGTAATAATTTATTATTGATAACAGTTTTTCAGTGTGCATTTCGAGCACAGTATGGTGTTCAACCTCCTGATAGATGGTATATCAAATGTTGATAAACATTAAACATAGAAAAGTAGTGTATGCATTTTTGTGCAAAGGGAAAAGTTCCGCTCACGTATAATTGTATCGATATCTTTCGAGTGGGGCCATATTCAACATCTGGGAACCTATTTTCTAGTGGAAAAAACTTACCTTAATACTCTTCATTTTGAAATAACCCATATGGTTCTATTTTGGTTCTTTAATTAAAATTCAGATTTTCAAAGTGGTGATATTCTTTTTGAATCGCCCTGTATATACATGACATAGCGTATAGATGATTGGGATGGATGTTTACAACTGTGTATGTAAATTTATAATGTGTAGTATACGAAATATACAGGGTATAAACGGAACTAGGGAACGCGATAAGTTATTAGCAATACAAAAAATCTTTCAAATAAAATTTTTAGTGTTTCTAGTAAGCTACATAAATTAAGGTAAAACAGAAAAAAAATATATTAATTTTCGAAGATATACATATTTTTAACTTTTTTTTAAATGGTACGCCTTGTATATATTTGTACTGTTTAGTAGGAAATAATTTTTGCTTTAAAAAAGTTTCATAAGTTATACCTTCTAAACTTAATAAAATTCGAGATATTAAAGAAAATATTAATACAGGAGAGAGAGGAATAAAAATAAACATTATATAGCTATTTCTGATGTTGTACTACTTAGTATCATATATATGCTATTGTACATACGTAAGAGTCTCCGAAGCCGAAAGGCTAGGGTTAATAAAAAAAAATAAATAAATAATAATATTAATATAGTTTTTCGCGGAATTAAAGCTGGCTATGAAAACAAAAAAAGTTACGAAACATTTTATTTTTCAAATGTACTTCAAATTATTGTGATACTGGTAACACTACAAATTTTCACTGTTTTTTCGTATACAAAAATTGAGCGTTTTTAACAAATTTTGATATAGAGTATTATTAATTATTATTAATAATTATTAATTATTATTAATTAATAATTATTACTTGACTCGTTCACAGCTTGTCTTATTCTATGATTTAATTTTGCAAGTGTAGTATAAACTTTGTGTTACATCTCTTTTTCCAATCCAGGCATTTGGAAATTTTTGATTTAAATAGTTTGTTAGCGAATTGTGGGATGGTGCATCATCTTGTTGAAATATCATTCCGCATCGATCTAATAATGGTATATCAACATCATCAACAAATTCCTTACTTGATTTTGTAAAAAAATCTTTTGTTGAGAAGTTAAAGTGCCTTCATAAAAATATGGACCCAGAATAATATTATTAACCATTCTGCACCACACCATTAGTTGAAAAACGTATACCTACTTGAAAATTAGTCACACTTCTAGTGATTTACCTTGGATTTTATTTAAGTACTTTATTTAAATATAATAATAAAGCTACATTATGATGATACAAACAGGTTCGACCATAGTCTTCCACTTGTAGCTACTAACTAACTAATCATAACCATAAGCAATAATCCATCATGCCATCTTCCTGTATGCAACTGTGCAATATTATTCCATTGAACTCTCTAGGTTCACAGTACAGACAGGAAGTGTGACATAAAAAATAAGCAAATTCATTTTGTATATTTTTGGGTTACCACCACAATAATACCGTTGAGTGAAGGATTTACTCAATGATAATACGTAATTAGGAAAACTGGGAAAGGGGAAGAACTAATTTTAGTTAGGGTGGTAATTAGGGGGTTGCTTGCGCTAATTTTTTCGCTGGAGAAAGTACGGATCTACCTTATTTTCATCGTAACTCAATTAATTTTTATGCTAGTTCGTTTATAAAAAAAATAAGAAAGGTTTTTTTAAATACTTTAGAGAATATTCTACTAGTTTTTCTCGAAAAATGCATAGTTTTGCCGTTGTTTAACCAAAGAGTTATAGTTACTCTTTGGTTTAACTGTGAAACTAATTTATAGCGTTTGACGAACAAAAGCTACATTCGGATCGTATTTTGGTCATACAGCAATAATTATTTAAAAACCATTTTCCCTGTTTTTTTAAAAGCTAAGATTTTGTTCTGCACCGTTTTTATATAAATTCATACTTTTCGAGTTTTTCGCGAATAACCAATTAAACACATTGATCTTTTATTCTTTTCTATGAAAAACTCATACTTTCGGTCGCGAATAACTGGAGAAGTATTAACTTTACAAAAAAATCTATAGACCACTTTTTGCTTAGAATCAAATGTTCTATTGATTCCTGTGTTAAAATTACAGAAAAAATTACCACCCCCAGGGTGAACGATAGATTTTGATCCTTAGGCTATTTCCTACCCACTGTTAAAATTTCAAGTGATTAGATTGAAAAAATTGCCAGGGAAAAACCTTCCTGGGTTAAAAGTAGGATTCGGCTCTGTGATTATTATATTGTAAAAGTATACTCAAAAGGAAAATAAAATTCAATGAGTCCGTTTTTAATTCGTACAATTTTATAACTTCTACCTCATTCATACCCATGTCTTTATTTGGTTAAAGTGGATACTTTATTTATTTACATTTTTCGTCACTAATGCTAATGATAAGATTAGCAATATCTGGCAATCCTTCCTTAATTGCCAATTGCAAGGCGTTATTGCCCTCTTTGTCCTTGATCTTAACATCGGCACCATTCTTGATCAACAATTGGATGACGGATGCGTTCCTTTGTATAATGGCCGTATGGAGCAGGGTGTTTCCCTTCGAGTCCGGACGGTTTGGATCGGCTCCTCTCCTAATTAGCAACTCTATCAGTTTTTGATTTTTGGAATTTAGAGCGATCTCGAGGAGGGATCTTCCTTTGTCGGGCAGAGTGCTAACGTCTGCGCCATTGCTGAGAAGGTATTTTACTATTTCCAAATTTTCTTGAAGGACGGCAAGATGAAGAACAGTCGCGCCATCTTTTCTTTTAAACTGCACATCCGCTCCATTTTCGACAAGTATGGTGACCATATAGAAATTATTATTGATTACGGCAAAGAAGAGCGCCGTTTGCCCCTCTTTATTCACTGCAGTTAAGGACTCTTTGTTCTTCATAAGTGCAATTACGGTATTTGTATTATTATGCTTCATGGCGATATGGATAGCTGCGTCGCCGTCTTTATTTTGTATAGATACGTTCGCCCCGCTTTCGACCATTTGTTCTGTTAAGTTGACGTAGCCATATCTGGCGGCAATGTGAAGAGAAGTTTCTCCATTTTCGTTGGGGGTATTGATTAGCGAGACTGTATCCTCGCAGATTGCTTGGGGTGCTGCTGCAATAATCAAGCATTTTAGTATAATTGGGGACTATCTAAAAATGAGCAAATTTTCCGGAAATTGGTTCCCCCCATGTTATGCATAAGTACAACCAAACTTAATAGCCTTTGTAGAGGACACGTATCTTTAGTATCAAATACTCTATCTATTGTAATCTAACTTCTCAAAACTTGACTTAGATTTTTTATGTGCACTTAATAAAATTACATGAAGTGGATTCCATAGCTTAAAGAAGGAGATATTAAAAATTTGATTAAAATTGGGATGCAAATACATTGCAACAAACCTAGAGTTCTTCAATGTGCAAATTTGATTCAGAGAAACTGACGGAATAAAATCTAGGTACTTACGGGCTACATTCGCTGCTTTAACCAAAATATTCACACTTGCAAAAATGTATACGCAACTTACAAAAACTAACATGCGCAGCATCTTGTGAGTTTTGCGATGATCACAAGTGAGTAGGTTTTTATACCCACTGTGCACCGTAATCTTGTCTATCTGAAGTATTGAATTGTACCGTTAAATGGAAAACATCGATAACTGCTGAGATTATATTATTAAACAAATAACCTGAAGTGCTGGGACGCATTGCAAAATGTAGTGAAGTGCTACACAGCCTTGCGAAATACGTAAATTTCAAAAGCTTTGTTGGCAAACAGGTTTTAGCCAGTGGCACGAGTGAGGATGGGAAACTAATACAAAGATGTGTTGATGCGATGCCATGTGATGATAGAATAGAAAGTATGAGATCTTACCTACCACTCTTACAATTTAGAGGAAAGTATCGCAGTAGTGTAGTAGTTGGCTATGGTTTCTTTTTCCAGCGTGGGGGTATAGCGTCGTTGATAATTTCGTACCTACAGTTTGATGTCAACTACCGATAGTAGTATATTAAGAAACAAGTGTATAATCAAGTCTTTAAAGCACGCGCAACGAGTTTAAGGGCAAGACGCGCAGCGGAGTGCCTTTAAACGTTGCAAGTGCTTTAAAGACCAATTATACACGCGTTTCTTATAGTATTTTTTATTATGCCTACAATATAATTTAAAAATAAGGGAAATAAAATGAAATCATGTTCACGTTATACTCGAATACATTTCTAATTAAGTGGGTGATTATTTGTCATTCCATAATTGCCATGGAAATGTCACTTTATGTTCGCGTATAATAAAAATCACCGTCTTTGTAAATAAAATGACTTCGGTTGAAGAAGACAATACACCGTCTATTCAGTGGCTTATTTCTGCAGCAGAAGACCCTGTAAAATCCAAATACAAAAGCCTACTATAAAGAATATATGAAAAACTGTTGGCATGGATTAATAGGAAGCATCTTTCAAACAAGGTCTTAATTGCATCGTTCATGCTGTCATACATGTCAAAGGTAGTTATTTAAATCTTCTACCCTTTGGTGCATTCATTCAAAACTTCAATCAATATTGCGATTAGAAAGTGGAGCAGATTTTGCAGCATAGCTACTCTAAACCACGTGCGTTTGTGAAAGCTTCCCACAAAGGATACGAGTCAAAGACACCTTTTTCATTTGCAAAAAGTGATCCGAGGGTATATTTTATTTCAATTCCAAATTACAAAATAATATATAAATATATAAATATAGTGACTTTACTTTGCAACCTTTAAAAGCTGGGCGTGTTTTCATCGCCTTTTTACGCACGCTCAGGCGTGTTTTAGGGTGGAGTTCATAGATATTAGTTAAGTTAGACTTACACTTTACTAAGTGCACACTTATATTATATTATGTTATATTATATTATATTATATTATATTATATTATATTATATTATATTATATTATATTATATTATATTATATTATATTATATTATATTATTGTACCGTACAAGGGGGTTTCGATAACAAAGAATTTGATTGTAAGTGGACTGTAATTATGAATTACTTCCAAGGCCTTGTTTATGCTGGGAATGAAAGAATATAGACACATAAATAAACGTGTTTATTATAAAAAATACAAAGTAAATGAATTTCTATTGAATATGGTTGACGTAGGCACGACGGCTACTAGAATATGGTAAAGTTACGAAGGGATAATGTAAACAAAGGAACTTACGTGTTGTTTCGAAGTCCATTAACAACGAAGGCGATGTTGCAATGGCGAAGATTGCTCTATTCTACGAAGTTGTCGAATTTGTCGATTTTGTTACAACGAAATCTTCTTATTGATGTGCGGTGCTTTGACGTTCTGCTTGTTAATAACGATGTTGCGAACTGCACGGCGACATCTTGACCCGTTGGGGATCGATCGAGATCTATATGCGAACGACGAAGGCTAATCGGCCATTGATTAACGGCGACTTCTCAACGTAGTTGAGTCGATGGCTTCTAAGCGAAGAATCGGACGAATTCTGCGCGACGAGTACACATATTGCGCTTCTGCGGCTCATGCGCGCACACGTAACAAATAGGAATATATACAGGCAAGGCAAAACGGTTATGTACAGGGTATTTTCATTAAAGGAAAAACGAAAGGATATTTTATTCTAGTTTGGGGACGCAACAATTATATTTTATATTATATTATATTATATTTACTGCTGGTATTCCTGCTTAACTGTCCGTATTTCGCACTTCACTTGTGACGAAAGCGAGTGTTCCGACTGCGACAGCTAAGGGGAGTCAAGTCGAGTTTTATCTAATGGCTGATTTCTGTTTTCTGTTCTGGATCAAGTAGTTCCAAGACTTCAGCTGAAAGATGGCAGAGGACGGAGCAGGCACATGGTGGTCTGCTCAGCCTGTCTCCCGTACGACTCGGAAGCGGTTCCACCAACCAAGGAGCTGGCTGAGTTGACAGGGTACTGTCGAAATAATGGGCAGCACGGGCACGAGCTTGAGGTGAGACCACTTTCTGAAGTACTTACAAACAACTGATTTCACTGTATTAAATCAGGGAGCAGCGTCACAGCGCGGAGACAAGAGGTCATTGATCTGACGTTGGACTCCTTTTCAATAACTCACATGATCACGAATTTGAGTGTGTGATGAATAGTCACTTTCGGACTACAGGTACATTCTTTTCCAACTAAACCTGGCACCTCACTGCTGGACCTGCAGGTTTCGGAAACCCCGATCCACTGACTCTCTAATTCAATTAGCTAATTGAACAGAGTTTACCTTGTATTCTGATAGTGTACATTTTTAGTAACGCTCCACGCATTAAACGACTAAATTGCACCTTTCTTTTACTAAGTAATTTCCGCGCTTAAGTTGCACATTTCTACGCGTTCATCTGTTAACGGATATCTTTGACCGAGCGCTTTCTTTACAAGTTAAAACCTAACCAATATGGCACCTTGAAATTCGGAAATTTTACAATTTTATTGTGAACACCCTGCATTACTAAATCCAAAATTTTCATTTTCATTTATTTATCTCTTAACTTCAAAGAAGAAGGTAACTACGATCCTCAAAGTGAGGTTTGCCTATGTAGAATTATTCGAAAAAAAATTATATTAGGATGACAACATTGACTAAAAATCAAAAAGCGAATGTTTCAAAAAAAAGGTTAACAAATGACATCGAAACAAGTTAACATATACAGGGTTGTTCAATAAAAAAAATTAGATAGTCATTTACACCGCAAAAATGGGACAGACTGTATAGTGCACATTGAAAAATAATACCTATATATGTGCAACCATCTATAATTGACATTTTCACAAAAGGATTTTTTATATTTCTTACCAGGTATGAGGTAGCAAAGACCGACGTACTGTTGCGGGCCCTGTATAGTCAATATTTCTGAGATACTGGCCTTTCTGTCTTTGAAAATGAAATATGCAACTCAAAACTCAAAAGTATTACTCAAGGTTAGCATACGTAAGAACCAACTCGTACTGAATAAAATAATCTAAACGGAGTGGGGTCAACTTGCTACCAAACTTGATAAGGGCGCATCGAACGGTCTTATAACATTAGTTAGTGGTTTCTAGCACAGAATCGTGGTTCAGGCGTTCCTGAATAAATACTAAACGAACGTTTGTATTGTTACGAACCCCCTTTCTTCCCTTAAAGCGACACACCACACACTCGCGTGTAAGCGGTCTATTACGAGCGCACGCATAAGTGGCAGTACTCGGTACCGATCGGCCACCGAAACGCGTACTGGGAGACGCGGGTTTGAAATGGCCGGCGGGGAATTGGACGAAGCAAAAATAAAAGGGAAAATACGCATTGCCGAGGACATTAGCGAAGGTATGAGCGCAACTAGACCAAGGAAAAGAAAAAGAACAGTAATGAAACCAAAGACACGGGAATGAAGAGAAGAGACGTGTAGATGGGGGCTCTCGAATAAATGACGGCGAAGAGAAGAGGACGCAGGGGCGACGACTAGAGCCGAAGAAAAAGGGCACCTGGTGAAGAAATAATAAAGACATGAGAGTTACAGTGAAAAGATAAGAGGGAGAAGACTAAGAGACGAAAAACTCGAGAACTGATGGAAGAAAGGAAGAGAAAAACATATAAGCAGGAGCGAAAGAACAAAAATGAGAGGGCGCTGGGGCGATGGCAAAGAAACGATCGCACATAGAAGAGAAAAAAGCCCAGCGATGAAGACCAAAGAAAAATAAGCTGAGATGAGGAGAAAGAAATGAGAACGTAAAGCGCCGGAAAACGAGACGACTGAGACGAGAGGATCAAGATCCGGTGAAGTACGGACGAAAACTGATAGACTGATACGAACACGTTATGAGGCAACCACACGGAGGATAGTGCTATGGTGCGAGGATCAAGAAACGAGAGGCCTTACAGATGAAAAGACAGGAGAGAAAGGATAAAAAATAGAAAGAAGGGAAAAGGGAAACAATTCAAAAGAAGCGAAAGAGATGAAGGGGGCTTGTACTGCGTTTTGCCCAAACTCCTTAATTTTCTAAGACTTTTCCTTTTCCCTTTTTCTGAACCTCTAAGCAAGGTGCCCGCTTCCGAAATCGTTTTTCTGTTTTATTATTACCCAACGAAGTTCAACATTGAAAATTGGTAAAACAGAAACAGGAAATCCAAGTCTCAAAAAAACGTTATTGTATTTTGTAATCTTCCAAAAGATAAGGTTTATCTCCCATCTACCGAAGTTTGCATCCGTTACCTTAGATAGGGGAACGGATAAGAAAATCCACTGCTATCACTTGTTGATTACGAAACTACGCCATTGTGATTGAATTGATGTAACTACTCGTACATTGATTGATGCTATTTTATATTATGCAAACATGGTTTTTGAACAAATATAAAATAAAAATAATCGAAGAAACGCTATTTTCTAGAAGGACGTCCTCAAAATCCGAACCTGATGATTGTTACCAAGTCGAATTTACCCAAAATCTAAGCTGCCTCGAAGCATGCCTTTGTATACTATTACCTACTGATACCGATACTATGGCACATTTAGACTTCTACGAAACGCAGCGTTTCAAGTATCTACCCACCTATCTTATCACCGAAACAGATATAAATAACTCTCT